CCGTCCCTTTCCCGCTCTTCTACTCCTCTTTCTTTGCCACCCTTCGACCCTTCGTTTACAAACGATGCACTCGCGTGCGTGCGGTTCATTCGACTCGAATTCTCCAATTGCGCGAACTAAACGTACGATATTTTCTAAAGCTTAGTTTGCTATTACTGCTGTATATATAAAATAAAGTCCACTTTATTTCGTCTAGCACTATTTTATGTATAATTTGTTAGTAAATGTTAAAGGTTTAAACGTATTCATTGAAATAATTATCTATCTATGTTTTCAACGTGTTCATGAAAAATCAATCATAAATTTAACTTTATTGTAATATTTTCGATCGAAATTTATTTGTATGATAAAAATCTCATTAAAAATATCATTTAAAATTAAAAAAAAAAAAAAAAAAAAGAAGAAAAAAAAAGAAGAAGAAGAAGAAGACATTTGTTATAATTTTTTTTTTTTTTTTAATCAACGTAATATTAATTGACATTTTTAGTTGTAATATTTAATCATAGTTTTACGTTAGTATTGTAATATTCCGTAATTTTTATAAAACGATATCATAATTATACTGTAACTGTTTATAACTGTATTATTATATTGTAACTTTTTTTTTTGTTTTTTTTTATTAAGTAGAGAAATATTCTTGTATATAAAAAAAAAAAGAAAAAAAAAACCTTTCGTATCTTTCTTTTTTCTTTTGTTTTGTATACTCGTTACACGTGTTTCATATAAACGTGTGTTATTTTCATTATATTTTAAGAACATTGTTTAATGTTTCGAAAAAAGAAAACGATATTCATATATGTAGGTTATATTTCCCTTCCCAAGAGAAAAACCCAAAATATAAGCAAGGTTGTGTGTGTGCTTTCGTTTAATGGGATTTCATGGGAAATTAAGCGATAACAGCTTAATGTTGTGGCAATACTTATCCCGCTGTATGATCTAATGCAAGCTCGTGTACGTTGAGATAAGGTAGTTATTACAGGTTGTCTACAGTGGTGGTTAATTAGTACGATCGTTATCTCCATTTCATCGTATACGAATTGTCATACCAATTAATAATACCAATTTTGTCTTTTTTTTTTTTTTTTTTTTAATAGAAAAAGTCTCTACGATCATTGTAGTTGTACGTCAATGTTTCCTTTAACAAACCCACCTATATTCAAAGCTAATCTTAACTGAAATACATATACACATACATATATATATATATATATATATATATATATATATATATATATANTATATATATATATATATATATATATATATATATATATATATATATACATACGTGTATGCACATGAAATGCATCCAAAGTGCGGAAGAGCTAACTTTCGATATTGCTAGAAAGATAAACATCCAAACTTACACGATGTTTAGGTATTAGATTAGCTTCCCAACGTGAACTTAGAACGACGTAACTTCCTTCCTTCCTTCCTTCCTGCCTTTCGAGATTACAGGGCCACCCGTTTCAATGATAATTCTTGTAACATTAACTAAATTAATAAAAATATTCAATTATATTTTGTATGAAATTATTTATATAAAAATTTGAAATATTAATTAATAATAATTTAATATAATTCTATTATAATTTCATATAATTAACTTATATTTAATATAATTATATTATAATTAATTTATATTATTATTATATTATATAGAAGAAGAAGAAGTTTATTTCAGGTATACCCCTTTAGGGTGTTTACCCCGAAGGCCCTCCCTACATGTTCGTTCCCCTTGACAATATACTTAATTCTAATTATGCCCTAATATTATTATATTATATATTATTATATTATATATTATTATATTATATATTATTAATTTATTATATATTATATAAATTAATTATAATATATAATTATATTAAATATAATTTAATTATTTATTAATATACAACATATATTTTAATATTTTAACGTATATTAACATTAATATATTAATATATTAATATATCGTACGTAATGCGTATCGTTAATATATTAATTATTATTTATATTAAATTATAATATAAATTAATTTATATTATAATTATATTATAATTAATTTATTTAAATTAATTTAAATGAATATTAAATATAATATTACATATTATAATAATTAATTATAATAATATAAAAATTACACACACACACACACACACACACACACACACACACACACACACACATTACTTTGAAATAAATCAAAATAAACTAATTAAATTTCGTTTCAATTTCAATGACGTATCAAAACGTCATGTAAGTCTTTATCCAAATAAATGCATGACGTATTGATACGTCAAATGTAACCAAAGTGTTGATAATTATTATATTCTTTATTCTTAATCAAAAAAAAAAAATTAAAAAAAAAAAAATAAAAGTAACAAAAATGTGTCGATCTAAATGGGACACCGTACAATTTTTGTTAATAAACCAACCATACGAAATCTTTCACATTAATCGATAATTTTAGTTGTAAATATATATATACAACTATTTATAACTTATCCATGCATATTCTTTTTCTTTGGCTCTATTCCTACGGTTTAATCTCTCGTCCGTGTTATAAAGTCCGGATCGTGGCAAATAGAGCGCAAGTTCCACAGCTCGATTGCTATGCAAAGTTATGCGACCGAGCAACAAGGACTTGTACCACGGAATACGTTTTCGAAGTACGTGTGTTCGCTAGCGTGTAAGCGTTAAGAGTATGCGCGTGAAAATTAATAAGCACCATGTTCGTCGTGGATTTTTTCCATGCTAAGGTCAACGTCCTGAATAACATGATCGAAGAAATGAAAAGTATTTAAAAAAAAAAATTTTTTTTTAAAGTAAAAAGGACTCTGAAACGCAATCAAAGTTATAATCAACAAATTCTAATTATTCATATGTAATTTTGTTACTTTGTTTTTTCTTTTTTTTTTTTTTTATCAATGAAAGAAAATTCTATTCCTTACAAAGTACGTGTAATTATTTATTTTTGTCATTTGTTATATAAGTTAAAGTTAAAAATACAAGGAATTTAAGGAAAGGAAGTATGATTTAAAAGCTTGTAAAAAAGAAATTAAGACATGGTATGCACAGTAAAAAGAAAATTTTATCGACGTAAAACTGTTTTATCGACTGTACGTGACGTTGATTATCCGCAAAAGGAAAGAATATAGAAAATATTAGAACATTGAAATGTTATTATTCATGTAAAAAATTCATCTTAATTAGCACTGGGATTAACAGTGGACGATAGTAGGTACTCAACGCGATGACAGTAAAATAATATCAAAGAAAGATAAAATAATATCAAAGAAAGGTACAGTACTACTAAAGAACAATACAATATTATCAAAAAATACAGTATTCTACCAACTATTGCCCACTGGTGGTCTCGGTGCAAACTAAGATAAACTCTTTACACAAAAAGTGAAATCTTTGTTCACATACATACATTCATTTTATAATGGTACTATTTTGTCGACTAATAATTACAATACAATAACTATTTTGCAGTCGATAACAAAGAGAGAATGAAATTACCGACATAAAAACGTCGGTAAATTATCGACGATAGATACGACTTTATCTATAAGAATTAGGAAAAGGATAATGATAATTAAACTAAAAATATTATAATTAATCTCACAATAAAAACTGTCTGCTAATGATAATAAAACAATATTAGGATATAAATTAAATATTAAATATTCCTAATTCGTGAAACTAAAGTAAGAAATTCATTTAAAAAACACAGATAGTAATAATAATTTAAGCTAAAATGAAAATTATGTAGCTATCATTAAAATAGTTTTTGCCACTTTAATAAAACCTAAGTAAAACTTTTATTCATACATTTCTTCACTTTTTTTTTTCCACAAATAAGAAATGTCAAATCAATTCTAACGAGGAATTCAACGAAACTCTGATATGATCACGTACGAACTGAATAACATTTATATACGGATAATTAAAATCGTTTTCTTCCTAGAAAATGTGTGTGTTTTTTTTTTTTTTTTTTTTTAGAATATCGATCAATAAATTGTCGTTAAAAAATCAGCAAAAGATAATCAAGAAAAAGAAGGAAAAAAAATCGTTTATCAAATGATAAACACAAATGCAACTGTATAACATACATCAGGCATACAATTTTTGGATAGGTCTTGACACCTCCTTTGACATTTAATGTCAGTTATCGATTAATTAATTGTACACGGACGAGCTTGTCTATGAGAAAGATACGATAGTGTTACATACGTAACCTGAATTACGTTCAATCCCTTCTACGAAAATGCTTGGCTTGTATTAACGCAAACTATGATAAAAAATTAATTAAATCTATTTGTTAGAAAAATGTACTTTTGATCGCGCACGTTTTTTTCTCGTCCTACTTGTTACATATTCCTATTACGTGTTTTACCATTGAAATTCAAATTGAAATTATTCATTAGGATATTTTCGATTACGTTGTATCTTTTTTATCTGCTAGAAAAAAAAAATTCATTTGTTATCAAGATTAGTAATAATTTTAAAAAATTATGAGACTTTTATTATGTTAATTTTGTTTAAATTTAGCAAAATACTATTGACAGGTTATAAAACGATTGCAAATAATCTTTCATACGTATAATGAAATTTCATTATTTTTCTCAAAATTTCAATATTTCTAATGGTAATTAAATTAAAATCTTGATGTATACAAAAATCCTTAAAATTTGTTTAAAAATTGTTTAATAAGCAAATTGTTTGATACTGAAGTATCTTTTCTAAAAGCGATACTTTGTTTTAATGTTAAACGATAAAGGCTTATGTTATTTTTATACAAGGAATATAAAATGGTAACAATCTTTTCCCTTTTATATTCTCTTCGTTGTCAGAATAGAACGCTTGTAAACAGTGCGAAAAAAGTAAAAATTTTATATAAAATAAATAAATRATTATAAATGATACTTTTACTTCAACGAATAAAATTAAATATCTTTATTATACGAAATTTGCTGATAAAAGTAACTTAAGTTTTACTCGAGTTATCCTGTTATATACTTAATTTTTATTTTAAAGTGTATAATTCTTAAGTCTATTTGTAATATTGCATATTTTGTAGTTAACATTACGAATATAGATATTATAAATGAAAACTGGAAATGTACAGTACAGATTTTTTATTTGTACAGGTAATTATAACAATTGTTTTATTGTAAGCATAGTATTGAAAATAATGAATAATGTCATCTTTTATAAAATCGCAATATTATAGGTTCTGCTGGATGCGAAGTTACACCAAATTTCAGTTTAATATCTTCAATTGATACTGCATAATCTGTGTGTAGAGTAAATTTTCTTAATATGGTAGCAGCAATTATCTTCATTTCGAGCATAGCAAAATCCTGTCCTAAAAGAGCATTATTCAATAAACATGTAATTAACTGATCAATTCATTAAAATATTATTTCAAGAATAGATAAGTATATGTTATTACCTATACAGTTTCTAATCCCTCGGCTAAATGGCAGAAAATATTTTTTATCGAAGTTTCCTGGCAAAAATCGATCCGGATCAAATGTTAAAGGATTCTTCCAGTTTTTCTCTTTTCGATGAAGACCAATAATTGAAATAAGGACATAGCAATCTTTCGGTATAACCAAATTCTCATTCACTTTAGACGATACATAATTACACATTATTTTTACATAAAATAGTAATGTCAATGGAAAAAAATATATATAGAAAATATTTTATTATAAATGTACCTTTCATATCTCTAGATGCAGTTCGTCCAATCAATGGAATAGATGGAAATAATCGTAAAGTTTCTTTGATGACTCGCTCCAAATATTCCATTTTTTTAGTATCTTCCAATGTAATAGGATCATCACTTGAACCATACATATCGTATAATTCTTGATATGCTTGATTCTGCAACCAAAAATGCCCACGTGATACATGATACGTGATACAAATTTTGTATARAAATATATTTAACTTTTAAAAGATAAGGACAAATATAAATTAATTTTTAATCTATGCGTACTTGAATTTTCGGAAATGTTGCCAGCATTAAAAATAAGAATGCAATTGCATTAGCACTAGTTTCACTTCCCTAAAAAAGAAAATATAAAATGTCTATTATCTTTCATGGATAAAATAAAAAACTTTATCTTATTTAAAAAAAATAAAACTTACTGCAAAAATGAATGTATTCATTTCATCACGAATATCTTTTTCGGAATATTCTCCACCCTTGTAAAGTGATGTTAATAGCACCTCAAGAAATGGACTTCTGATTTTATCTTTATTATCAAGAGAATATAATATACTTCTTAGTATTGGTATAAAAGTATACTATTTATAAATTTATAAACATTAGAATATTTTATAAAATTGTTATTCTTACTTTCATCAACTCCTTTTGATTCTTGAAGAATATTACCTTCYTTCATTAATTCCTTTTTTTTCCTTATAATCTTCACAAATGAAAATTATTTATGTAAGTAAGATTTTATTTTGCTTAGCTATAGAATATTTATTAATAAAAAAAGACAATTACAATAAGAAAAATCATTTTACATGTACCTCGTATGTGATATTATCAATATTTAATCGAAGCTTCTGTAATCGCTTTCTCTGAGGCGAAATGTTAAATATAAAATCCGGATGTAACCAGATTTTCATCATCCTTTCCATAATAATGACAATGCCTCTGTTAAGTGTAAAAGTAAATAAATATAAAATAATATTGTATTATATTATAAGTATATAAATATTTTCTTTATTATTACTTCTCAGCGTATTCRGCATATTTTATTTCCGAATTGTTTTGTAAATCTAAATTACAATCCAATAGGCAATCTGTCAGTAGAAACAAAAAATCAATTTTTAATAAATTTTAATACGACGGTTTATTATCAAGCTTTCCAAAATTCTCAAATCTTACCGAATATTATATTAAGTGTACATGACAATATATTTTTCATGATATCTACGTTTTTGCCATTATAAGTTTCTAAAATAGTTGCCAGTATATTTGAATTTTTAACTACTCCGGCCATATAAGTTGAAAACATTTTTTGTTTGAATACTGGACCTAACATCGCTCGATGAATTTTCCACATTGACGCTTTAAATAAGATAATATTTGTTACTTTAATTTGTTATGCTGGTTTTTCAAATATTGTATTTAGTAATTAAAACATAAAGAAACCTTAACCTATTATTTACCTGGAGCTGTAATCAACCCATTACCAAAATAGGGTTTTACAAAGTCATAGTGTTTACTTCTTTTAAAATCATACGGATTGTTTGATATAATCTAGAAGAAAATAAACATATTTTATCAACAATAAAATACAACGATTGAAAGAAAATTCAACATTTGTAAGCGAATTGTAAAGAGAGAATGATATTAATTCATATGAATCTTACCTTAATATTTTCAGGATCATCAAATATTAAGATTAATTTTGGGCCTATCCAAAGTCGCCAAGGTGAAGAATATGTTACAGATGACTTCGT